TTTTTTTTTGTACAAGTGCATTTTTACAATGGCCGTGGCCTTAGAAAATGTTTTGTAACTGCGATACTGAAACCACAATAACAATTTTAAAAAGTTGTTTACACAGATGGGGGAAAGGCGTCACGTTCTGGCCCACTTTTCAAAGCCTCACAAACAAGGCAGAAAGAAAATGTCACGGTTATGATGTCAGGCGTCAGAATATCTTTATGTGACAGACAATAGAGCTCCGCATTTAGAGTAGTATGAAGGTCATTTGAATGGAGATATATAGAATCTCTTGCGTCACCCTTGTGTCTCGGTACAGCACTAGACAAAGGGGACCCGGGTAAAGTCAAGTAAGGTTATATGGCGTCGGGAATCTTTTTGTCCGAAGTGAACCTGCCACAGTGCGTGATATTACTACACAAAGTTGCACTGGCAATCAGTTTAGAATTACTGCTCTTTTTTTTTCTTAACAAGTCAGGGACGACCTATAGGCCTAACGACGTGCGCTGAAAACGCCTTTACTTGTTACAAATGAAAACCATTTATGGCGTGTTTCGAACGCGAAGCTGGGTGATCTGTCCACGAGCGCGAGGCTTGATTGCTTGACTTAGTTGAGAAATATGAAATTGATGCTCCGCTGATAATTAATGGGGAAAATCTGTTTGTAACTCGTCCTTTGCGTGCCAAGCATTCTCCTGGAAGACATTCATGAAAAATGGATTATCTGTAGACAAATCCCAAGCTCTGTTCGAGTCGCAACAAGATCCACTGTCGGTAATGAGTAAAGACGACGGAGTTGGCTGAGAAAGCAAATAACGAAACGCGTGCGTCACGTTTGCGTCAGCTGTATTGTCTTGCCTCGCATTCGTAAATAAAAAAACCAGCATTAAGTCGGATCGAATATAGGACAGAAGCTACCTGATGTGTATTCAAGTTGCGTAAGTCAACACGTTGCATTTCTCGCTAGGCATGTAGCATGATATGTATGTATATATAATTTTTTTTCGCAGAGGACCCGTAATCTTACCTAACCGCTTTCGGTCTATTTTTGGAGAAGACAAGCAAATGATTGATCATTCCAATGCAGTAAAAATGCTTTCGAGATAGAGCAATTATGGAGTTAAAATAGCGTTTGGCGTCACAGTCTACCGAAGCGAAGGGGAAGCGAAATACTTAGCGTTAATTTAAGGCATTATTTATCATCAGAATAGAATGTACTGACAAGTCTGGAAACGCAATGACAGCGATCATTAAAGAAGCATTACGCGTACGTCGTATTAATTTGTTGATGAATTTTTTATATCCAGTGTCGCATCCCTTCATTAACCATCTCCCCCCCCCCCATAAAATACGAGCACGATTTCACCTGTGGTATTTCAAGACAGCGGCAACTCCGTCTCAAATATTCGTCCAAATGAAGTCGTCCACTTCGTCGCAGTTTTTACGGTTCAGAGTTCCCAGCGACGGTCGTGCAGTCCAAGCTGTTTACTTCTTTCTCGAGTTGTCTGCGATATCGTAAGCAGATAGCGTTAATTAAGCGCGATAAGCAGCTCTGATGTGAACCGCAATTTGGCGACATTTTCTTCGCGTGATAAGCCAGCTTAATGCCGAATTCAGTTAATGAGATCCCGCGGGTGCGAATCGGATATGAATAATGAACTAAGCTAAAGTAATTTTGTCAATTTCAATTGACTGTATAAATTCCTGGAATTCATTTGCGTTTGATATGGACAAGGTCATTCTAATGAAATGTATTTTCTTGTTTATTACAGACGATGTACCGAAGACCGCCTTTCTACGCAGTGCCGGCAGCAGGCGCACATTACCCAGCATCCCCTGCACAAAATGGCATCAAGAGTCCGCCACCATTTCCAAGCAGACGATCGCCCGGAGCGAATTTGTTTGACAGAGCACAAGGTTTTTATCACGCAGGTCTCACCGCACGTCAAATCATGCCTGCTACGGCTGTTGCTATGGAGGAGCAAGCTCCCCTGGATTTATCCAAACCTAATAATAAGACTAAGTCACCACGCGAAGTTTTAATAAGAGATGTCGACAGCCCTTTGGATTTATCAGTGAAAACACGTAAAAGAAGTGCAGATACGACTGACAATGAAAATGACGATGACGTCATATTTCTCAAAGAGGAAGGGCCGCCTCAAGCCAAATATGCAAAGGACGAACAACACACTTCACAAGCTTTTAAACTGCAGAACAATCTCAACATCGGGAGTCCGAGGCGAACATTTTGTAAAAACAATGGTTATCTCATGTCGCCCAGTCCTGTGAAAGAGCCGCCACTATACACGGGGACTTGCACTCCCGGGAATCAGGTAGACCGAAACCCTTACGGTTCTCAAGCAGATGTTACGAGCAATCAGCATTCGCCGCTTGGTCGTCCCAAGTTCATGCAGCAGATCATACCTACAGGCACGCGAACTTTTCAACCGCAGTCACGGCCTGTAGGGGGCGTGACAAATATAAACCCTCATTCTCAGCCCGGTGCTAATAAGATACCTGGGTCGACTGTTCACATTCCTACCAGTGCTAATAACACAATCTCTCCAGAGAGACGGGCGGTGAACCGTTCAGTGGCACCCTCTCACGGCAACCTAACTCCTGGCAGACCATACACCTCTAAAACAGACGCCACCTCGCACCGGACAGTAAGCCCCGCAGCCTTGGATGCATTCATGGCCCTCAGGCAAAAATCTTACGGCCATGTTTCACCGCATCAGGAAATGAATGGTAAAGCAGCGGCAAAACAGTTAACTGGGTCACCCGAGAAAAATACTTTTCAAAATGTTCACGATGCTGGGGTGAGGCAGTGTGCCACTCGTTCAATTGGTCAGATTCCACCAATGCCGCCCTTGATCAAGGTGTCGCCCTCTGCAGGGCACAATGAAGTCAGCGGGACTTCTTTACAGCGATACCCTGCAAACGGCGGACACACAGTCGCTAAAATGTCGCCGTCCCCTTCTAAAGCTGCGCCGGAATATCAGACAGTGCCTAACCACCACTATGGAGCTGTCCAAAGCCGCAAGGGGACCTCGGGGCTGTACCAGCAGCATCAGGTACCCCATGTTGGAACGACGTCGCACACGCAGTCTTTGTCTCAAATAACAATGCACCATACCGGAACATTAGCAGCAGCTCAGGGTTTGTCGCAGATACAACGTGCCCGGATGTCCGCCCCATTGCCACAGTATAACAGATCGCCCCAACGCGCCAGAACCCAACAGACAACGCAACAGAACACTGCGCCACAAAATCAAATGGTCGTGCAAGAAAGATCATACCCGGAAGTAACACACGTTCCGAACTCTCGCGCAGATCTCGTAGGAGAACCTAGGGTGCATACGCAACCTGCTCAACCACACCACAGGTTCAATCAATATTCCGATATCATGGCAAAGAATATTACTCAAACAACAGAAAAATACCAATTTCCTTTAAGAACAGTCACAAATGCTACAACAGCGGAGCTTGTAGGGCAGCCGAGGGTAAAACAGTCGCTGCCTGACTACAAACTCGGCCAGGTCCCCGATTCAACAGCTCGGCATGAAACAACAGGAAAACTGTCTGAATATTCCGCAGACACAACGCATGTGCTCGCTTCAAGGGCTGTCTTCGCGTATCACAAGGCAGCAATGCATTACGCAAAATCTAAAATGGCTGCAGGTACACTGCAGCAACATTCATCTGCGTCGATCGAGATTACATCCGGGCACTCCGTTGACGCAGTAAAATCTGGGCACCTAAATGATACATCAACCAGCCATTTTGGCATCTCTAGAGAAAATATGCCGTCGCTAGGCAACCAGAAGCAGGCGAACAGCAACAATACAAATTGTACAGGTCGAACGACTGGTCAGCCGGCGTTCGGACATCAAAGGTCAACTGTCACTGCCCTTCCAGATAATAACGCCAACATGCGCGTTCAAAATGATGACACTTACCAAGCGGAATCTACAAAAGCAGACAACACACGGCCTTTATCTAAGAACGATGGCGTTCCTCGGCAACATTCTCTTAAAGAGGACTTCATCCGGGCCATTAAGAAATATGAGGTATTTAATGTTAACCCGCTGGACGTGATGAAACTGCGTAACGCCTCGGAGTCCGCGCACAGTGGTAGTATAGTTAATGGGACCCCGTGGACACCTGCGAATAAAACTGAAGCAGCTGATGCTGCAACAAATGCCGCAGAAGGTCCGACATCTGACTCAATACGCACTCGCAGCAAAAAACAACGGTCTGACAACCAAGTGCTTGTTCCTGTAAGTCGGACATCGGGTGCTAAAGTAGTTCAAGGTGCAGTGGTCTCAAATCACTTCAGCACCAATGAGTCGTGCTCTCGACATGAAAATATTGCCACTTCTACACCTATAGCCTTCCTCCCTTTTCAAATTACACATCCTATCACGGCAAATGTTTCTAGAGCAACCCATTCATACACCTCTACTCAACGTAATACGGAAAGGCAGAATCTTTCGCTTTCAAGCGACCCGTCAGGACAGTCTTTAAGCGGTAGAAGTGCTACTGCAACCTCGGCGGAGACCGCCTCGAGTGTTACGTCATCAAAGGTAACTCCAAGCGTTTTGCGTGATACTTCGTCCACCTCTGTCACACCACTGTCTTCAGTTCCGAATCTTTCGGCGTTTATGCCAACCGGACAGGGCAACAAGTCCCCGCCATCACCAGTTCGGGATAGCCATCAAGACGGGCCACAGACTGTGGTGCCATCTACCCGGCCAGCTTCCATGCTGCAAGCTATAGAGCAGAGTGCGCGCGCCGTCACGTATCGGGATTACAAAAAGCCCACCCCCGTTACAAGTAAGATTGTAAATAACAAGGGGTCGAACAAACCAGGAAGTAGTAACAGGCCTAACACTCGATGTAGGGCTCCTGCACCATCTGGTGAGTGTAACGCAACTGATGAAGACGAGCTGATCAAGTATCGCTCTTCCCTTCGCATGCCCCCGCAACTGTTAAGAACCAAGGTGGCGCCTAATCCAGTTCGATCAAACACAGCGGGAGTTGATAGCAGCATAAAACCTTACATTTCGGTGACCAAAGCATCTGTCAGTCCGGCAAAATTGGATCCTGGGAACAGCGGTAGATATGCCGATAGCAACACCAAGAAGGAAACTGGAAATCCGATTAAGTCAGAACCCATAAAGGGAGAGTTATG